TTAACTCTAGAACGCACAAAACCGATTTCAACAATTTTCAGAAATATGCTTGGTTAAGTCAACGAGCATTCTTCCCGCCAAGAAATATGATGTACACGCACTGAATTTCACCATTCAAGCAAAAATTGCTGGCGATTTGGTGACCATCCAATGATTCCGTTTGACTTCAAACGATTGCAATTTCCAGTTCGCAATAACAAGTCGCAAGGCCAATCGCTTAGTGTTTGCGGGATTAATTTCAAATAGATCATATAGAAAATCATTGTTTTTCACATGGGCAGTTATACGTTGCGTGTTCACGAGTTGGAAATCCATCCGCTTTGTTTGTGTTAACGTCAGACCAAAAAACAAAAAAATGTGGTTTACCAAAGAGCACTTCAATGAAACGGATAATTTACGGATTCACTTTCATTTATTTAGAGAAGTTCAACTAACAAACACTTCATTTTTGTAATCAAAATAAATTCATTACTGTTGTAAAATAAAATCAAATTTTCCTTTTCAAATATAAAAACAAACAAAAGTTTCTTCATTTTTCTCACGAAACCATCTGGTGGCGAAACGGAGTTCGTCGGTTTGCTAGTTTTATATAAATATTTTATTTTATTGTCATGATTTTTGTTTAAATGGAATTTGTTTTTAGGATCTTGATTCTGGTTGGGCGAAGTGGAATCTATTGACTTCAGAAGATGCTGGTAAAGATTTGCATCAGTGCAAAATCTGATGAAGAAACATCAATTGGCGAAGCTGATATACAAGCTCATGAGGACAGAATTAAAGGTAACAAATACCTATCAACCTTATTTTTCTTGTAAATGTTCCACAAGTTTATAAGTCTTTTTCTAGATATGAATGGACAAGCCGATTCCTTGGTAGGACAGTGGCCAATTCGACACAGCAGGAATTCAAGAAAAGAGAACATCGATCAATGAACGTTATGAACGTGTTAGGAATCTAGCAGCCCACAGACAACAGAGATTAAACGAGGCCAACACTTGCATCAGTTCTTCAGAGATATCGCTGACGAAGAAAGTTGGATCAAGTCAGTATTAAAACAATGATAGATTTTGTATTTGATTTGATTGTTTATTAATATTAAATGTATTTTCCATTCAGGGAAAAGAAACTGTTGGTAAATTCAGAAGATTACGGACGTGATTTAACTGGAGTCCAAAATTTGAAGAAGAAACATAAGCGTTTGGAAGCTGAATTAGGTTCACACGAACCAGCCATTCAAGCTGTACAGGTAAATAAAATACAATTATTATAAAATTTATATAAATGTACTGTAGAAGTGAAACTTTGTAATATTTAAATGAAGAGAGGTTGATATTGTTTTGTAGTCAGCTAATATTGTTTCTTTAATGCAAGCTTCATTGATATTAGTTCACAATTCACAATTGGTAGTTTAAGTTATATTTACATTTTATTTAAACAATATATGCAACATTTACAGACAGACTACAATATTTTCGGACAGTCTACATTTTCAGTTAATCTACGATATTTTCAGTCAAATTACAATATTTTTAGAGAATCTAAAATATTTTTAGGTAATTTACGATATTTTTAGATACTTTTGAACATTTACAGTGAACTTTCAACATGTTCCAGCATGTTGAAAAATTTTGTGACAACTTGCATGATTTTCAAACAGGTTGATACATTTTGAGACGGTTTGCAATACTTTCAGACGACTTGCAACATTTTCAGACTAGTTGCAACACTCTAAGACGACTTGCAACACTCTCAGACGACTTGCAACACTCTCAGACGACTTGCAACACTCTCAGACGACTTGCAACACTCTCAGACGACTTGCAACACTCTCAGACGACTTGCAACACTCTCAGACGACTTGCAACACTCTCAGACGACTTGCAACACTCTCAGACGACTTGCAACACTCTCAGACGACTTGCAACACTCTCAGACGACTTGCAACACTCTCAGACGACTTGCAACACTCTTAGACGACTTGCAACGCTCTCTGACGATTTGCAACACTCTCACACGACTTGCAACACTCTCAGACGACTTGCAACACTCTCAGACGACTTGCAACCCTCTCAGACGACTTGCAATACTCTCTGACGACTTGCAATACTCTCTGACGACTTGCAACACTCTCTGACGACTTGCAACACTCTCTGACGATGCAATACTCTCTGACGACCACACTCTGACGACGCTGCAACACGACTCTGACGACTTGCAACACTCTCTGACGACTTGCAACACTCTCTGACGACTTGCAACACTCTTGGATGACTTGCAACACTCTTGGATGACTTGCAACACTCTTGGACGACTTGCAACACTCTTGGACGACTTGCAACACTTTTACACCACTTGCAACACTTTTACACCACTTGCAAAACTTTTACACCACTTGCAAAACTTTCTCAGGCGACTTGCAACATTTTCAAACATTTGCACTTTACTTTCTATATTTTCAAACAGTTTGAAACATTTTGAGACAACTTGCAACACTTTTAGTCGACTCGCAACACTTTTAATCGACTTGCAACACTTTTAGTCGACTTGCAACACTCTGAGACGATTTGCAACATTTTCATATAGCTTGCAACTTATTTTTACAACATTTTACAACATTTTCATTCAACTTGCTGCATTTTCAGACTCCTTTCAACATTTTTAGACCACTTGCAACATTCTCAAGACAATTTTCAACTTGTCTTTGCAACATTGTTAGACAACTTGCAACATTTTTAGACAACTTGCAACATTTTTAGACAACTTGCAACATTTTTAGACAACTTGCAACATTTTGCAACTTTTTAGACAACTTGCAACATTTTTAGACAACTTGCAACATTTTTAGACAACTTGCAACATTTTTAGACAACTTGCAACATTTTTAGGACAACTTGCAACATTTTTAGACAACTTGCAACATTTAGGACAACTTGCGACATTTTAGACATTTCACAACATTTTAGACATTTCACACATTTTAGACATTTCACAATATTTTTAGACATTTCACAGCATTTTAGACATCTCACGGCATTTTTAGACATCTCACAAACATTTTTAGACAACTTTCAACATTTTTAGACAACTTTCAACATTTTTAGACAACTTTCAACATTTTTAGACAACTTTCAACATTTTTAGACAACTTGCAACATTTTTAGACAACTTGCGACATTTTTAGACATTTCACAACATTTTTAGACATTCACAACATTTTTAGATTTCACAATATTTTAGACATTTCACAGCATTTTTAGACATCTCACGGCATTTTTAGACATCTCACAACATTTTTAGACAACTTTCAACATTTTTAGACAACTTTCAACATTTTTAGACAACTTTCAACATTTTTAGACAACTTTCAACATTTTTAGACAACTTGCAACATTTTTAGACAACTTGCAACATTTTTAGACAACTTGCAACATTTTTAGACAACTTGCGACATTTTTAGACATTTCACAACATTTTTAGACATTTCACAACATTTTTAGACATTTCACAATATTTTTAGACATTTCACAGCATTTTTAGACATCTCACGGCATTTTTAGACATCTCACAACATTTTTAGACAACTTTCAACATTTTTAGACAACTTTCAACATTTTTAGACAACTTTCAACATTTTTAGACAACTTTCAACATTTTTAGACAACTTTCAACATTTTTAGACAACTTTCAACATTTTTAGACAACTTTCAACATTTTTAGACAACTTTCAACATTTTTAGACTACTTTCAATATTTTTAGACTACTTTCAACATTTTTAGACTACTTTCAACATTTTTAGACTACTTTCAACATTTTTAGACTACTTGCAACATTTTTAGACTACTTGCAACTTATTTTTACAATATTTTTAGACCACTTGCTACATTTTTAGACGTCTTGGAACATTTTCATACAAGTTGCGACATTTTCAGACAATTGGTAACTTGTCTTTACGACATTTTTAGACTACTTTTACCATTTTTATACAACCGGCGACATTTTCAGAAAATTTGCAACTGGCCTTTATAGCATTTTCAGACAACTGGCAACATTTTCAAGAGAATTTGCAAAATTTTCATACTTACAATTTATTCATGCAATTTTTAATATTTGCAGACAATTCTCACTTTGTTTCTACCTATTAAAAAATTTAAAGTTTCACTTGGTTTTTAATTTAATCATTTATCATTTATCCTTTTACAGGAGGCTGGTGAAAAACTGATGGACGTCTCCAACCTCGGTGTCCCAGAAATTGAACAACGCCTCAAAGCCTTGAACCAAGCGTGGGCCGAGCTGAAGTCTTTGGCAGCCAACAGGGGACAGAAGTTGGGTGAGAGTTTGACATATCAGCAATTCTTGGCCCAGGTTGAAGAGGAAGAGGCTTGGATCAGTGAGAAGCAACAGCTGTTGGGAGTCGAGGATTATGGTGACAGCATGGCAGCCGTGCAAGGGCTCTTGAAGAAGCATGATGCTTTCGAAAGCGACTTTGCAGCACATAGAGACAGGTAAGGAAATTATAGTAGTAAAAGTATATATATATATATATATATATATATATATATATATATATATATATATATACTAGCTGACCCGACAGACGTTGTCCTGTACACATGTCTGAATTAATTATTGTTTTTTAAATTACTCTTTACGCCAAAATGCATATACGTTTATAATAAGAGCGATGTTAAATGTAGATCTGCTTTAAATAAAATGATGAGTCTCAATGCCCACACTATCTTGCAAATTGAAGTCTTTTGAACGGTATAAAATAACCATAACCATAACATAACACTGGTACTTCATGTTGGATTAAATTAATTTAATTTTTTATTATTTAAGATATCCAAAATTGCATCTTAAACTTCTCCTAATTGATATCCGAATATATCAACTTTTCCTATTGACAGGGCCGAATTGTATTAATTCATCTTTACTTTCCCATTTGTTGTTATAAAGTGAAAGTTTTACGGATTTTAAACATATTGTAAAAAGATTAGTAAAAGATGCAAAGGAATTATATATTGAAAAAAAAAAAAACAATATTGTGTCCGACTCTTGTGTTGGCGCCCCCTAAGGCGTGCGCTCGTATTTTTCGCATGCATTGCATTAAAGGTAAGACCGGCCCTGATTAATACTTAATTTCATATTTTAAGTGAATTAATTTGTCATATTTGTTCATATGTGTATCATTCAATCTGCCATACATGCCATACACTGTATTTTACATTATTTTAATTTCTGGCACATCTCAGCTGTTTTTTGGCAATGATAATGTAGACATTTCATTTTTCTTATTCATAATCATAAACTTATTATACATATTCTATGGCTCATAAGTAAATTGAAATTTTTGGCAGATGATAGTTTTTATTTATTTTCAATGCAAACAATAACATGTCGTTTATTGCCATTTTTTCCATTTATTTCTACAATATTGCACATACATCCCAGTACTATGCAATCACATACACTCTAGAAATTTTCCTTAACAAACTTCAGAAACATTAATCAAAATCCAAATAATCGTTGAAAAGAAGTATACAGTGAGTGATTGTAATTTAATATGAACTTTTTATAATAGTAATAAAGCTCAAATTGATTCTACGTTTTAGTTAGAAAACGTTTGTATGAGAAAAAGAAAAGGGCTGTTTTTAGGGGGTTTCCGGCAATTTTTCGATTTTTTCTCGCCGTAAGAACCATCCTTGGACATTAACGAACATTTTAAAAAAATAATTGGCCAAATTGGTTTAAATATATATATATATATATATATATATATATTACTAGATGACCCGACAGACGTCCTGTACCCATGTCTACAATTCAAAAGTTCCAATTTTTTTTAATAACCAACTTTCTAATAATATATAAAATATTTTAAATGAATATTTATTGAAATAGTAAATTCAATAATATATAGCATTTTTAAACTTATAATTATTATCCTTTTTTATTTTTCTGCAGGTGCAAAGATATTTGTGATACCGGTGCCAATTTGGTAGATGACAAAAATCATCACGGTGATAGCATTGCTCAACGTTGCCAGCAGTTACAGGTAAGTTTGATAAAAAGTTACAAACAATTGAAAGTTTGCTCCATATAGACTGAACGTTTCAAATTTTATGTAAATTAAAAGTTGCCTTTTCTATTTTCCCAAAGAAAAAATTAAACAAAAATTATAATTATTTAAACATTTATATTTATATTATTAAACAACAAAGTACAAAGCTCTGATTATATAATACATAAATTGCAATTAGTACCCTGATAAATATAAATTCAGTGATGAGTTTAATGGTCAATTCAAAAGTCTTGTTGATTGGGTTTTTTGTTTTTTTCAGTGTGTACTCTTTCATGTACGATTAATGCTCGTTTTCTTGCTAATGTTTTATTGCATAATTCACAATTACAACTATAAGGTCATTCGTCTGTATGCATTGATAAATGCCGACTTAAACCACCTGACTGTGAAACCTCTTATTGCATATTATGCATTCATCAGACTATTTCCCAGTATGGACCAGTTTATGTTGATTTAAAATGCTTTTCGTTTTGAATGTTTTATTACATATTTCACAATTATAAGGTCGTTCACCAATATGCACAGATAAATGCTGTCTTAAATTACCTGACTCTGAAAATCTCTTATTGCATATTATGCATTCATAAGGCCGTTGTCCAGTATGGATCATTTCATGTCGGGTTAAGATGTATTTTCTTGTGAATATTTTATTGCATGTTACACAATTATAAGGTCGTTTTTTAATATGGATCATTTTGTGTTGGTTTAAGTTTTGTTTTCCTTTGAATTCCTCATGGCATATTTTACAAAAATAAGGTCGTTCTTCATTATGCACTGATGAATGCTTTCTTAAATTATTTGACTGTGTAAATCTTTTATTGCATATTTTGCACTCATGAGGCCGTTCCCCAGTATGGATTATTCCGTGTTGTTTTAAGTTTTGTTTTGTTACGAATGATTTATGGCATATTTCACATTCATAGCGCTTCAACTTACTAGTTGTCTTACGTTTTTCTGAAACTCTTTCAATTGATTTGTTCGTGCTATCCATTAAATTACTTGAATTAGTGATCTCTTCGTTACATTTGTAATGTTTTTCATCTAAAACCCTTTGGTTTGTATTAGCCGAAGCATCTTGCTCATCAAACGTTTCTTGTTTTATTTCCTCATCAATTGTAACTTCAGATTTAAGAAATTGCTGTAGACATATATCATCATTGTACATACACAAGTCTGATGTATTTTCATAATCATCAAATTCCTGTTTTACTTGAGGATAATCATCGATCGGTTCGATTTTAATTGTTTTGTTTGAATTTGTTTCTTCAGACATTTTTGAGGTTAGTTTGGTTACAATAGACTAATTGGTGATGAAATCTTAAAAAATGAGAAGTCTAAGTGTATAATAATAAATATGTTTAGATATTTACTAATTCGTTTTTTTAAATATTAAATAATACTAAAACTGACCTTTTTACTATGAATTTATCTTCGAATTTGACGTATAATTCCATAAACCACTTTGACATTTTTCCTCCATTTTTCTTTTATAAACAACAGATCAAGTTGAAGTTAAAAACAATTCAGCTGCGAGTTTTTCGGCGGCAAAATATAAAATCAGAAATTATGTAGTTTTAAGAAAAAGAAATAGATTTAGGTTTAATATTATTTTAGAACGATCTCGTTTAAATTTTAATTAGTTTCATATTTCAAAAAAGTCAATTTTTTTTTCAAGAATTTAAATTTTCTCAAAAATCGAATTTGTTCAAAGTTTGGCAAAGTTTTTTTTAACTTCCCGAAGGAGAAGTTTATGTTTTCATCAAAAAATCCGATTCGCTAATTTTATGTTTTTTCGACGTTTCAAGCCATTCTGAATCGAATGAGACCAAATTTGGAAAAAGTATGTGTGTATGTGTGTGTGTGTGTGTGTGTGTGTGTGAACAGATTTTTTGCCGTAAATCGACGTTTTCTCAAAAATGGCTGGACCGATTTTAAAAATTTAAGAGCCATTCGATGTATCTCGATGAGAACTAGCGTTTATCAATTTTGCGCGACGATCAGCCAAGCCGTTTCTTTGTAAATAGCAGAAAAGTGAAAAATTTTTCGTCTACGTTTTAGCCCGCAGTTCTGAATCGATCTTGAAAATTCAAAAACCGTTCGAAAGATATTGATTGGGAATCGTGCTGATGAGTTGTTGGTAGAGATGGCCGGGCCGTTTTCTTGTACTAAAGTGTTAAAATTTTTTTTTTTCGACGATTATTATTATTTTTTTTTTGACGGTAGATACTATAGTCTTCTAGATCATACTAAAATATGACGGCCATACGACAACTCGTTTAGCTTTAAACATTCGTTAGAGTTTGCAAAAATTAGTATCGTTTTTTTTTGGCATTTGTCAAAATTAGACCTTTCATCGACGATTGCTCAAAAACGCCTGCACCGATTTCAGAAATTTAAAAACCATTTGATGTGTCTCAATGAGGACTATCGCTTGTCACTTTTATGCGACGATCGGTCGAGCCGTTTCTTTTAAATTTGGAAAAAAGTGTTAAACATTTCGTCCACATTTGAGCTCATTCTACCGAATCGATTTTAAAAAATCAAAAACTGTTCGAAAGATATTAGTTGGAAATGATACTGATTAGTTTTAGGTGAAAATCTACCGAGCCGTTTTCTTGTAATTAACTGTTGAAAAAAAAATAAGACGATGTTTATGGAACTTTTTTTGGCGATATATACCATGGTCTTATAGAACTTACTGAATTATTACGGCTTTACGACAAGTAGAAAATACTCCGATTAATGTGTTTGTTTTCAATTATGTGTAATAAATCCACTCGGAATACTTTTAATCACTCATAAATTAATTTATTTTTTATTTATTAAGTCGACTATTTACATATATCGGGAAGTTCATGTAACTTGCCTCAAGGCTAAATACCAATACCAACTAGTTAAAATTTAATTTTCGGTACCGGAAGTTTCAGCAATTTGCCTTAAGGAACGATGCCATACACCTCACTAGTTTACCTACTACTATTTTTTCTTTTTTTTTCTAGGGAAAACTGGATGGCCTTTCAAATCTGGCCAAACGTCGCAAGGGATTGCTATTAGACAACTCGGCCTATTTGCAATTCATGTGGAAGGCTGATGTCGTCGAAAGTTGGATTGCTGATAAAGAGACTCATGTCAAGAGTGAAGAATTTGGACGGGACTTGTCTACTGTTCAGACTCTTCTTACTAAACAGGAGACCTTTGATGCCGGTAAGATAATTTTAAATACATTAGATAGGAATTATTGGACAACCTCTACAATTTTTGTAATAAATTTTCATCACATGCTAAATAAATACATCTAAAAGACTTTTTTGTCGTAGCTTATATTTGTCGATTTATACGCTGGAGATTGACCCAAGTTTTTTTCTATACGAATTTTTCGAGTCCATACGAGTTTTTCCATACGAATTATCAGCATCGATAATTTAAGCGCGATACTATAACAATTTGGGTTAATTCAAATGCAATTTTAAAGTAAACAGAGTTGCTGAGTGGATTATGATAACAGAAAATGTTGTTTACAATTTAATTTTGTATAAATTCATGTAACATGTCATTTAAATCGGACTACTGGTTTAAGAGCTACAGTTAATTTTATAAATAAATGCCCATAGGCAATTTATTCAACACGCTCAGATTAACAATATATTTTCAATCGTAATTTTAAAGTATACCGAGTCGCTTTAGAGTATTTCAATATTAGAAAAAGTTGTTTATAAATTAATTTTGTATAATTTTGTCGAATATTTCTCTTAAATCGGACAAGTATTTTAAAAGTTACAATTACTTTTATAAATATATGCACAGGTGCAATAATAAACTTTATGGTATTATAGTTGAAGACACGTAATTGCGAGTTGACTATTTTCAATCGTAATTTTAAAGTATACCGAGTTGCTGTAGAGTTTTACAATATTAGAAAATGTTGTATATAATTTAATTTTAAATACTTTTGTCAAATATTTCAATTAAATCGAACGAGTCGTTTAAAAGTTACAATTGTTTTAATAAATATATGCACAGATGCAATAAACTTGTTGTAGTATAGTTGACGACACGCAATTGCGGGTAGACTATATTTTATAGAAATTTTAAAGTATACCGAGTTGCTGTAGAGTTTTACAATATTAGAAAATGTTGTATATAATTTAATTTTGTATAATTTTGTCGAATATTTCTTTTAAATCGGACAAGTATTTTAAAAGATACAACAGATTTTATAAATAAACGCATAGATCTAATAAATTCAACGCGCTTAGAATAGTAATCTATTTTCAATCGTAATTTTGCAGTATACCGAGTTGCTTTAGAGAGTATTTATATATATATATATATATATATATACTAGCTGACCCGGCAGACGTTGTCCTCCGTTGTTCCAATTTTTTTATTATCCTAATATTCATGATATCTTAAAAATGTTCCTTGACAAACTCTAAAAAGTTTGATCAAAATTCGAATAACCGTGCAGGAGGAGTTTGTATTCATGCAGAGAAGAATTTTATATATAAGATTATCTAAAATTAAATCTAGGAGTCTAGATTGTCAAATGTCAAAATGTTTTCAATGTCAAACAATAATATGTTGTTTTTTGCATTTTTTTCTATTTAATTCCACAATATTACTATAGTTTTATAATTCATGGCATCTTGAAAATATCCCTTGACAAACTGCCAAAAGATTTATTAAAGTTCGATTAACCGTCTAGGAGGAATTTGCATTCATACATCTGTACAAAAAAAAAATTATATATAAGATTATCTAGAATTAAATATAGGGGTCTATACTTACTTATTACTATAGTTTTATAATTCATGACATCTTAAAAATTACCTTTAATAAACTCCAAAAAGATTTATCAAAATTTGAATAATCGTTTAGGAGGCGTTTGAATTTATACATCCACAAAGAAAAATTATATATGTAAGATTATCTAGAATTACATCAAGGGTCTAGATTTCTTAGTGTGAAAATGTTTTCAATGTCAAACAATATGTTGTTTTGTGCAATTTTTTCTATTTATTTGCATAATATTACTATATTTTTAAAATCATTTACATCCTACAAAAAATCCTTAATAAACTCCAAAAAGATTTATCCAAATCCGAAAAACCTTTTAGGAGAAGTATCAAATCATACATTCGTACAGAAGAATTTTATATATAAAATAAATATATATATATATATATATATATATATATCTTATATATAAAATTTTAAATATATATTTATAAATAATAAAATGTAATATATGTATATTCTGTTTCAGGTCTTTTGGCTTTCGAACAAGAAGGTATACAAAACATTACCGCATTGAAGGATCAACTAATTTCGGCCAAACACGATCAATCTCAAGCTATTCTTAACAGACACAAGGATGTTTTAGCCAGGTAATTATTGAACTATCATATTTTTTATTTTTAGTATCTACTTTTTTCATAACATTTGTTTTTTACTTCAATCCCAGATGGCAGCGTCTCCTGGGAGACTCCCGTGCTCGCAAGACCCGTTTGCTGGACATGCAAGAACAGTTCAGACAGATCGAGGAATTATATTTGACATTCGCAAAGAAGGCATCAGCTTTCAATTCCTGGTTCGAGAATGCCGAAGAAGATCTCACAGATCCTGTCAGGTGCAACTCGATTGAGGAAATCCGTGCCCTGAGGGAGGCTCATGCACAGTTCCAGGCTTCTTTGTCGTCTGCACAGGTAATAATAGATATGAACTAGATATGGGTAACTTACTCCGGAAATATCACTACGATACAACTCCTTCCTCGGAGTGAATCCGAGTGGAGTTGTATCACAGGATTTGTCATATCCGACTTCCCTAAACTGGTACTAAATCTGTTAACATTTGCTTGAGAATTTTTACTAATACAAAGATTTTGGTCGAAAGAAGTGGTTTTTTCTCGTCTAACAGCCAGTTTTAGGACTTTCCAGGTATGTCTCAAAATAATGCTCTTTTGTATTCTATATTCTGTATACGATAATGTTTGTCCGTAAATGAGCTCCTTCAATGGTATACAACCAACTAAAAAATATTTAGTATTATATTATAACTTTTACACAATTATGATTTTATAAATGTATAAAAGTAATAGTATGCTTATCAAACCACTTGATGTATAATTAATTCTTGAAAAGGAAATAATAAAAGAATGTCAGGTATTATTATTTTGTGAAAAATATTACACACAAAGATTTGTTCTTATTTCGTATATAAGGTTCACTGCATTATTTGAACTAGATAAAATTTACTAAAATTCTGTATAAACCGTTTTATACACTTTGGAACAAAATTTTGAATATTTTGAACTCGCCCGAATATATTTTGCACATTCACAATATATGGATTCGAGACACTTTTTTACGTTTATTTAAATAACTCAAAATTTAGTTCCGGGCACTCTTTTTTAGTTAGCTTAGCAGAAAATAGTTAAAATTTACTAAATTACCGTATAAACTGTTTTATACATTTTGGTATAAAATTTTGAATATTTTGTACTCGCACTAATATATTTTGCACATTCAAAATATATGAATTCGGGACACTTTTTACGTTTATTTAAATAACTCAAAAATTTAGTTTCGGCCACTTTTTTTAGTTAGTTTAGCAGAAAGTAGATAAAATTTACTAAAATACCGTATAAACTGTCTTATACACTTTGGAACAAAATTTTGAATATTTTGAACTCGCCCGAATATATTTTGCACATTCACAATATATGGATTCGGGACACTTTTTTACGTTTTTTCAAATCAGTCAAAAATTTAGTTCCGGGCACTCTTGTTTAGTTAGCTTAGCAAAAACTAGATAAAATTTACTAAAATACTGTATGAACTGTTTTATACACTTTGGAACACAATTTTGAATATTTTGAACCGCGCTAATATATTTTGCACATTCACAATATATGGATTCGGGACACTTTTTTACGTTTATTCAAATAACTCAAAAATTTAGTTCCGGGCACTCTTTTTTAGTTAGCTTAGCAGAAAGTAGATAAAATTTACTAAAATACTGTATAAACCGTTTTATACACTTCGGTACAAAATTTTGAATATTTTTAACTCGCCCGAATATATTTTGAACATTCAAAATATATGGATTCGGGACACTTTTTTACGTTTATTTAAATAACTCAATAATTTTGTTCCGTGCACTCTTTTTTAGTTGGCTTAGCAGAAACTAGATAAAATTTACTAAAATACCGTATAAACCGTTTTATACATTTTGAAACAAAATTTTGAATATTTTGAACTCGCCCGAATATATTTTGCACATTCGCAATATATGGATTCGGGACACTTTTTTACGTTTATTCAAATAACTCAAAAATTTAGTCCGGGCACTCTTTTTTAGTTAGCTTAGCAGAAACTAGATAAAATTTACTAAAATACTGTATAAACCGTTTTATACACTTTGGAACAAAATTTTGAATATTTTGAACTCGCGCTAATATATTTTGCACATTCACAATATATGGATTCGGGACACTTTTTTTACGTTTATTCAAATAAGTCAAAAATTTAGTTCCGGGCACTCTTTTTTAGTTAGCTTAGCAAAAACTAGATAAAATTTACTGAACTCCTGTATAAACTGTTTTATACACTTTGGAACAAAATTTTGAATATTTTGTACTCGCGCTAATATATTTTGCACATTCAAAATATATGAATTCGGGACACTTTTTACGTTTATTTAAATAACTCAATAATTTTGTTCCGGGTACTCTTGTTTAGTTAGCTTAGCAGAAAGTAGATAAAATTTACTAAAATACCGTATAAACTGTCTTATACATTTTGGAACAAAATTTTGAATATTCTGAACTCGCGCTAATATATTTTGCACATTCACAATAGGATTCTGGAAACCTTTTTTCGTTTATTCAAATAAGTCAAAAATTTAGTTCCGGGCACTCTTTTTTTGTTAGCTTAGCACAAACTAGATAAAATTTACTAAAATCCTGTATATAAACCGTTTTTTACACTGGGAACAAAATTTTTGAGTAGTTTGAAAGACAAATATCATCAAAAAAAATTCTGTTGATCACATCCATTCGCTTCGAATGATCACGTCGATGGCCAATGATGAATCAGTATTGTGGCGTCGTAACGCATTCCGTTGCATTTTCTCCAAGTTACCCCGGAGTGGCGCATGAAGAAGTTTTACTTCAAAATGTTCAGTATTTGTGGCGCGTAACGCATTTCCGTTGCATTTTCTCCATGTTACCCGGGGTGGCGTATGGAGAAGTTTTACTTCAAAATGTTCTAAAATAAGCGTTAAATAATAAATAAAGAACTAAATAAATTCTTTAATATAAAATAAAACATATTTAAAATTTATATAATTCTCTTCAAAAATAATTACAAAATTGATTTTGATTCCCAAGTTTTTTGCCAATTTGGGATTTGTATGCATATTGAAAATGCATATTATAAAATAGTAATTATTATAATAAAACTAGTGTAAGTGGAATTCTGTTCTTAAGAAAAAAAAATTACTTCGAAAAAATAAGATTTTGAGAAACTATAAATTTGACAAAAAAATACTTTTTTTGAAAAAAAAAATTGAAAAAAAAACTATTTAATTTTTTTTTTTTTTAAATCTTTTTTTTTGAAAAAAAAAAGTTTTCTTTATTTGACATATGTTGGAAGATCTGAATTTGTTTTTTTAAAGCAATCGTACTGCTTTAAATGCATAGAGATAAAATATGAAGCGCGTAAGCGCCGCGTCGCTGTCTAACGGGTAAACATTGGTACGGAACCCCATAGGAATATAAACAAAATTTATACTTATTGTTAAAATCTCTATGAAATATCTGATAATTTGATGTGCATATGTCTAATGATCATTTTGACCGCCAAATGGCATTTTTTTTTACTTTTTTTGTTAGATCTCCGAAACCGCTAAACTGCCCTTATAAAAATTAATCAAATCTTCATCTTGTCAATACAAGTAAAATGTTTTTTGAATTATGAAAATCGGACGCTCCGTTCTATTAAAAACTGAGGTACCGTTTTTGGCACTTTTTGCCCCATATCTTCGGAACGGGCTAGATTTACCTCCGCCAAAAACTAATCAGCACGTCCCTTATCAATACGGATCGAATGTTTTTTAAATTATTCAAATGCTTCATCCATGTTCCCGAAATCGTCGACGAAAATTTGTATCCGCACACACATACATACTACGCACACACATACAACACACACACACACACACATACATCCATTTTTTCTAAGAATATGCCAAAATATTCAGAAACCTCTGAAACGTAAAGATATATAAAAATTTTCATTTTCGATTTTTTTGCGATTACTATAACTTACCCTACGGGAAGTTAATAACAAAAATGTTTGAAATATTTGTAAACTATTTCCAAAGTCTTGATAAACCCTTAGATATGTTAACAACACACTAGAGAACACATTTGTGTCAAGTATTATTTTCAAGTCATCGGAGTGGTGGAGGTTTGAGTGGATATAACTCCTCCTTCTATACGAACTATTTATACATAATAAGTTGGTTTATTTATTCTTATTTCTTTATCATCAGGCTGATTTTGAAGCCCTGGCTGCCCTCGATCGCCAAATCAGACGTTCAATGTTGGCCCGAATCCTAACACTGGTTCACCATGGAGGCCTCGAAGACACCTGGAGGAACTTGCAGAAGATAATTGCTGAACGTGATACTGAACTTGCTAAAGAAGCTCAACGACAAGACGAAAATGATAAATTGAGGAAAGAGTTTGCAAGGCACGCCAATGCTTTCCATCAATGGTTTGACCGAGACTAGGTAAGAGAAATGTCAATGAATTTATTAACTTCTCGAAGAGAGAAATTTGTTTTCGTTTTTTTTAAACCATTCTAAGTGGTTTAAATGAACTGGTCTTAATGAACATATTAAAATATTAGAAGAGGCCTACGAAAAGTAAATTAATTATAAAAATTAATGAAAGTTTGATCAGTTTGCTCGTCAGTAGAGTCCCTTTTCTATTTATTGTTTTTCTATATCACCTTATTGTCAGTTAGAGTCCTTTTACTATTTATTGTTTTAACTCAGTTAGCTCATCCTTTTCTATTTCCGTAATAGTAATCACAAAAAATCGGAAAATAATTTTTAACTTCTCGTAGGGCAAGTTATAGTAGTAATCGCAAAAAAATCGAAAATGAAAAATTTTATATATCTTTACGTTTCAGAGGTTTCTGAACATTTTGGCATACCTTAGAAAAAATGGATGTATGTGTGTGGTGTGTGTGTGTGTGTGTGTATGTATGTACGTGTGTGTTGTATGTGCGGATACAAATTTTCGTCGACCGATTTCGGGAACACGGATCAACCGATTTGAATAATTCAAAAAACATTCGATTCGTATTGCTAAGGAGACGTGCTGATTAGTTTTTGGCGAAGGCAGGTCTAGCCGTTCCGAAGATACGGGGCAAAAAAGTGCCAAAAACGGTACGTCCATTTTTAAGAGAACGGAGCGTCCGATTTTAATAATTCAAAAAAACATTTACTTATATTGACAAGGTGAAGAAACCGATCAAATTTTCATAAAGGCAGGGTCTAGCGGTTTCGTAGATCTAATGAAAAAAGTAAAAAAAAATGCCATTTGGCGGTCAAAAATGATCATTAGACTTATGCACATCAAATTATCAGATATTTTATAGAGATTTTAACAATAAGTATGAATTTGGTTACAGTCTATGGGTTCCGTACCAATGTTTACGCGTTAGACGGCGACGCGGCGCTTACGCGCTTTGATATTTCCTCTTTATGCAGTTAAAGCAGTACGATGCTTTGAAAAAAGTTTAGACCTTCAAAATATGTCAAATAAAGAAAACCTTTTTTTTCAAAAAAAAGTCATTTTCGGTCCAATTTATAGTTTCTCAAAAATCTTATTTTAATCGTTTAAAAAAAAAAAAAAATTTGGTACGGGAAAGTTCCAGCAATTTGCCTTAAGGCACGCTGCCCAATTGCCTTAAGACAGAATTAAACTTAAAGGCTAGTTATATATTTTTAAGTTTTAAAAGTTTCTGAACAAGTTGGCATAACATGTGTGTGCGTGTGCGGATACAAATTTTCTTACAACTGGTTTTACTAATGTTTATCCCAATTTTATCTTTATAATAATGTTTTATTAAACTTGTATTTATTACCTATTTAATTTTTTTGTTTAGGTACAGAATATTAGGCTGGGACGGGTTAATTTAATATTTTAAATATATATAAGCTTTGAAAACGAAATTAATTCAATAACCAAATAATTCAAGCTGTTGTTTTGCTTGTGTGTGTTTTTTAATGAATTTTAAAATACTAGCTATTATATAAAAAACTAATTTTTTATTTTAATTTATTATAAAAGTTATAAATGAGAAAACAATTTATTTTGTTACTTATGTACTAAAAATGTGTTGCACATAACAAATCATAAAACATATGAAAAAAACTTACAACATAAGTAAATTTGAAAAAAAAATCAGTACATACAATAAAAGATTAGCATTACAAATTTTTGGACCGATTCTGCCGCTTAACAGGCCAATGTTATGGCAAGGCTATGTTGTGGAGAACTTTCCATACTGAAGATTGACAAAAGTCATGGGTTGCTGTGCAGTCAGGCGTATTTCATAGGTTGTCGGATAGAAAACCTACCTAGAAATCGCACAAGTATCAAAAAAACGATGTTAGATGACAGGGCGTTTTGACTCAGCTTCATAACATACGAGTGACGTTGCAGTTTATGTGTAAAACGCCTGAATGGACAGCAATACATGACTTTTTGACAGCATTCAGTATGATTCAGTAGTATAATGTATGTAGTAGGAGCGTAACATGGCCTTGCCATAAACATTTACCTCTTTTGCGGCAGAATCGGTCCCTTTATATACGAAGCTAAATATGTTTTAGTATCCATCATCTTATTTTTTACAAATACTAGTTAGTTAGTGCTTTCA